TTGGCTGGGGACATGGGGTTAACTGCTGCAGGCCCAGTCTCCTGGACGCCGCTGGGTTGCTCTGTGCCTCTGTTTCCTCATCTGTCAAATGGGGGCAGCAGTCCCCCCTCCCTGGTGGTTCTGGGCCCCTCTCCCACCCCTGACCTTCTTTCTCAGAGTGCACAGAGCAGGGACCCCATAGGTGGGGCACTTCCTGGATTCAGGGGGACATGGCCAGTGACTGAGCCTTCAGAGTACAGCAGAGCAGAGGCAGCGCCCCCTCGGAGCCCAGGTCCTACTGGCCACCCAGGCCACCGGACAACTGGGGCCCCAGAGCTTTCTCAGGGCAGGGTGTGGGTAGAGGGACTGTCAAGCCCGAGCGGAATCTGGGGGGTCTTTGGATTGGGGTGTCTGAGCTCAGGCGGACTTAGTGGTGTCTTCCCAGGGAGGGGGGTGGCCTCAGGGGTGCTGGATGGCAGGTCCTTTAGGCTCCAGCTCTCCAGGGAGGGACAGGGGTAGGGTCCTGGGCGGGGCGGGGCATTGGCAGATGAAAAGGGTTGGATATCAGGCCTTCGTAGGGCAGCCCAGGAGGTAGGGGAAGGGTGGTTAGAGAAAACCCTGAAAGGCGGGGGTCGTCGGGTGGGAGGTGGAGTTGATAGGAAGTGGTGGGTCTCTCACTACGGCTTCTCTGCCAGGGTCTGAGATCCCCAGACCCCCTTTTTCAGAAGCCTACCTGCCTTCCGCTCGCCCCCAGGACCCCTCCTCCCCCCAGCTCATCACCTCGGGTGGAAGCTGGCAGCTCTCTCGGTCCCAGGAGGGAGCCGACCCCACCGCCCTCCACTGCTCGCGGGGGTCACGCAACGGGCTGGGGAAGGGGGCGCAGGGGGCCCACAGACGTGTCCGTGCCGGCCACACCTCGAGCTGATGGCCGGCGTCCGCGCAGGGCCACTTCCGGCGCGCGGTCGGGCAGGCCCCCTGGCACCGCTGCATGCGTGGGTCCCGCGTCACCGAGCCAGCTCTGCGCGGCTCCCTTTTATGGCGCCGGAAGCGCCTGGCGGCGCAGGGATTTAAATGGAAATTCGAAGGGGAGGCAGGGACAGGACAGCAGGCGGGCGGGGGTGGCGGCCCTGTGCCATCTTCTCGGGCTGGGCTGTCTGGAGGCCCCCGCCCAGGGACTGCCCGGGCCAGATGGCAGCGAACTCCCGTGGTGGCAGGGGGCTGCCACCCAATGGCTTTGCGGCATGACCCGTGATGGGCGACCCACAGGCGTCGGAGTGGATCTGGCTGGGGGCCCAGTGGGGCAGAAAAGAGGGGCTCCTCCTCCGACCCTGCCCACACCCCAGCTGCCCCTCCCCGAACAACACAGCTCTGCCAGCGTGGGCAGGCCAGCCTGGACTGGGCCCCTAGCCTGACCCCCACCCTGCCCCATGCTCTGACCTGGTCCAGTTCCCCTCAGGGTTGTCAGTTGGCCCCCTGCAGACCCTCCCCCACCAGAATTCAAGTCACTGCCCCACCTCACCCAGGGCTAGGCTGTCAGCCCCCTCCCTCCTCCCAGGTGCGTACTGGGGAGCCCCTGCTTGCCCATGGAGACCCCAGAGGACAGAGTAGAGCTGCCCTTAGGCGTCTGAGACTATATTCCCTGAGGGAGAAGAAGCTTGGTCTTTCTCTCCAGGAGAGGCTTGTGGCTTTGTGGTTTCTGACTGCTGTCACTTAGCCCACCCTGCTCCCAGGGCACCTCTAACTCTGTTAAGAGAATTAGAGCCATTTCCTGATGCCCGGGACTGGGTGGGGCCTAAACCACCTGACTACCAGAAGGGCGCACACAGCATTGGGACTGGCCCCAGGGATGACAGCAAAGGCCTGCAGGGCGTGGGCAGGACAGGCCATATGATGGATTTGAGGACAGGGTGCTAGTGCAAATGTCTGTCCTGGCCCAGGGCACGGCCACCGGGGCTCTGACCAAGCGGCCAATGCAGTGTGCACACAGACGGCAGCAGCCGAGCCAAGTGACCACAGTGACCGGTCGGCCCTGGGGGTAGGTCTGCCAGTCTGGAGACCCAATCTTATGTCCAGGTCAGCCTGGGCCCTGCTGGGCGGGCGTCGAACAGGTGCTGCTACGGCATGTCAGAGGGAGGCACACCCACCTTGCTCACACACACATGCACACGCACTCCCATCCATTCACATACATGCTCACATATGCACACTCACAGGCATACTCATCCCCACCACATACACACACACACTCCCATCCAGTCACATAATGCTCACACACATACTCATATGCACACACACACAGGCACTCCCATGCGCACACGATCACATACACTCCCAGCACATGTGTGTGCACTCACACTCACAGGCAGGGGCACAGGCCTGCAGGCACAGGGGAGGGAGAAGGGCCTGTCGTCGCAGGTCTCTGACAAGCCCTACAGGAAGGGGTCAGGCACTTGGCCACACAGTCATAGAGCCCACGGGGCAGCTAAAATCCCAAAGGGTGGGCAGGGCAGATCAGTAAGACCCCTGGGTCCATTGCCCTTCCAGCGCCCTCACTGTGTCTTGAAGCCCCGGTCCATTGAGGATGAGGGGCCCCTCCCCTTGTCCCTCGAGCCTGTCCCTTGAAGGCTCTGCAGGCTGGCACCACAAGGGGCGAAGGTGGGCATGGTGACCGTGGCAGGCCTGCCCCTGGGATAGTGGGGCCTTCATGCTGCCCCTCCTTCACACCTGTGCCCAGCATACAGGTGAAGTCACGTAGTTGGGGTCAGGGTGAGTGGGTGCCCGGGCCTACTAGAGGCTGAGAGGCCCAGTCTCCTGGGCCTGGGCTCCTTCTCAGACCCCTGGAGCTCAAACTTGACATTTTGCGGGCTTTGGCCTCCCTGCTGTGTGGCTTGGGCCAGCCCCCACCCCTCTGGGCCTCAGTTCCTCCTCCACGGAAGGCTGGGACAGGGTTGGTTGAGGTTGGCCCTTTGGGCTGTCTCCCAGCGGTAAAGGACATCTGAGGGCGTGAGAGCTGCCGGCCAAGGTGCCAGGCTCACTGGAAAATTACAAATGTTCCCTGCCTGCTGGTGGCGGGGCCGAAGCAGGAGGCAGGAAGGAGGGAGGAGGGTCTGTGTGGGGGCCCGGAACAAGCAGGCTGCCTGTTCCAGGGACAGGGACATGCCGCCAAGCCTGAGAGGCAGGCGGGAGGCAGGGAGGGAAGGAAGGAAGGAAGGAAGGGCGGGGATTGCAGCACCTCGAAGAGAAAATGTTCCCAAAGTCCCAGGAGACTGGGGGTGGGGTGGGGCTGGCTTGCCCTGTCTGTTGGAGCCCCCAGGCCCTGGCTCCCTGCACTCAGACATCCCACTGTTCAAGCCTCTCCCTGGAGGGGTCCTCCCAGGAAGGCCCTCCCCCCTGTGCTGCTCTGTCTCCCTCTGGACTCTCAGAGGCTGGAAGGGGGCTCCCTGTGGAATGAGAAGGGACCCACATGACCTCCTGGCCCAGTCCTGCCTGCTCTTCCCCTGAGGACCCCCCTCCCCCCAGCTCAGCTCACATGGCAGTGCCCAGCCCCTGTCCCACAGCCTCTGTGTCTCTGAGGATCCCCCCTCCCCC